ACAGTGCTTGAAATAATTCTTATGTCTTGAGCAGTGCAATGTGTAAAAAAAAAACCTACTTAAATATTTGCTGATCCTTAATTCTCTTACAAAAATAACCAGATAACCTGGCAAACCGTTTTCTCCCAATCGGAGCCCTTTAATCAAAGGATTTTAAAAGTCCAAAATTCCCTTTCTCTAGCGACAACTGCCTAACAACAATAACTCGGAAATTAAAATTTTGCTATTGACTTGTGGTCTACACTATCATTTACTAAAGCTGGTCTTCTAGTTTTCCCTCTACTTCCTTCAAACTCCGGACTTCCTCCTTAGCATCCCAAAAGCTACCTCTAGAGCACCACTGTCCCCAGGGGAACCGAAATAACTGATGCTCCACGGAGCACACACTCTCAGAGCAAGCGACAAAAGAATCCTGTGATGGCTACAACTTCCAACTCCTTTCCTCAAATCCGCAGAGGTAAAGAGACTTACCTCAAGTTCCAGGAAAGCAGCGACGACTGCTCATAGATCTGGGACCAGTTTTGAAGACGCTTCCTGACCTTCCCGTCACCATAGTGATTGCTAACCGTTAAACTCTAGATTCCCACTTCCCGCGATACTTCCCAGATGCGCGTCACGTGGGTGGGCCCAGGCCCTGTCCCTAATCGAGCCCGCCCTCTCTTTAAAGGACGTCATTGGACAACTGTGCCCCGCCTCCAGCTGTGTGCGCAACCTACTCTATTTTTTTCCCCTTTTTTTCAAAATTCTCCAGGTTGTTTTCGCAAATGCTGTAATTCCTGTAGCAGTGCGTCTGACACAGAAAGTATTTCCTCACTTGTTCTTTTCACTTCACAGAAACTTCCCGTCTATCCTGGAGCCCGCCAGGAGTTCGCGCACGCGCGCGAGCGGCCAGAAGATGGCGGTGGTAGTCGCCGCACTTTATTTTAAATTAGTCGATCCCAGAAATCATTGCGCGCAATTGTAACGAATTTCCGTTCGAGTTTGTATTTTAGGCGCCATTTTCGAGTGAAGGACCCGGAGCCGAAACACCCGTCGGAGCGGGGAGGGGGTGGTCCTGTACAACCGTCTCCAGCGTGGTGTGAGTGGACTGTCCTGCAGGTAAAGTACTTATTTTCCCGATCGGACTGTCACACGCTTACTAACGGCAGCGTCCGCGGGAGCAGCCGAGTCCGGCCGGGCGGAGGCTGTGAGGATTCCGTGGCTGTCACCCCTCCCCCCGGCGGCAGGGGCTCCCGCGCGCTTCCCCGGCGCCAAAAAAATTTGTCTGGGAGTCAGCAACCCCCGGGACTTCTTCTCCAAAAGTCTGGTCTCCAGCGGGGTGAGGGGGCAAAGCGCTCGTCTCCAGAGCACTGGTCACCGGGTCTGAACCCGTACTCGTGACTTTTCTCGGTGCGGTATCCAGCGGCCTCCGCCCCGCGCTCCCGGCGGGCAAACCCCTGCCGTCCCAAACGATGAGCCCGACCCGACGCTGCCGGCGTCGGCTTTGGGAGCGGCTGGCGATCCGTCCTAGCTTCTGTCCTGCTTCCCGCCCGGACGGGAGAGGAGACCTTGAGTCCCCCGGGCCGTCCCGGCGCCGAGAGCTAAATGGCGCGGCGAGGAAGGCGGGCGGAGAGTCGCGGGACACTTTTTCCTCCTGCTCTGGAGTTGGTGGCCACTCACACCTGGGAGCTGCTGCGGACCGGTCTCCGCGCGCGCCTGTCCCTGAGCCCCGAGCGCCCGGGAGGTCAGCAGAGGTCCCCTGTGGGAGTGACCTCGTGAAAAGGCCGGTGGAGGTGTTCTCGCGCTACGCTGCGGACCGAGGGCCTTTAAAACGCACTCGGCCGGTCCTGCACTTACGGCACGTCTGGGTTTTGCCACTTGTAGGTCTTACCAAGCAAGTCAGTCTGACTTCTTGCCACTTGGGTTTTGGGTTCTTTTGTTTTGGGCCCTCTCCTGAGGATCTGCACCTCGGAGTGGAGTTTTTAAGATGGGGCTCGCGGGAACCGGTGGACCGAGGTTTCCGCGAACGGGGAGGGCGGCTGCGGAGTCCGGCGGGGAAGTGCGGGTGACTTATTCCCCGCTTTCCTCCGGCCCAGCGACCATGCCCCGAAAAGGCACCCAGCCCTCCACGGCCCGACGCAAAGAGAAGGGGACACTGGCTTCCCCAGACCCCGCCAGCAGCGACGCTGAATCGGAGCCGCCGTCCGGCCGCGCCGAGAGCCCAGCCGCCGCCGCAGGTAAGTGACCGCCGCGATTCGGTCGGAGCGCGCGCCGGGGGCTGGGTTCGTCGGCGAGCAGCCCGAGACGGGCGGAGGTCGTGGGTGCAGGCAGAGTTGTATGGTTGGCTTTGAAAGACCAGGGTCTCCTGGAAAGACGTCTGGCGATCTGCAGAGATAGGACTCGCGTGCAGTTTCGTGTAACGGTGCTGGAGAGGATGGGGGCGTGCGGAGGGGCTTCAGTTGTGAATTTCTGTTTGACACACTTTGGGAGAGTGCTGACATACGGTGTTTACGGAATTCTCGTTGAAATCAGCATTATTGGCCAAGAATTTGTGAGCTTTTATTTTTCCCCTCAGATTCAACATACTGTAACTGAACGTGAAAAGTTGCTTGACCCTACCCTCACTTCCATGGTCTTAGAATGCCCTTAAAACGGTGCTGACTTATTTGAAAATTGCGGTGCCTTTTTGAGTCCAGGAACTGAGTGATACGTATATGAAATTCCTGTGACAGTATCCTTGAAAGCGTGTCAGCTTTTCAGGTGCTGAAAGATATGGCTGGAGTCCTGCATCTGATTTAGAACCTTAGGATTTAATCTCCTGGTTAGGATAGGAAGCGGGGAATTCAATCCATTTGTTGTGTTTTCTTCCCTGATCTACTGTTTTGATTCCTAAATATATTACAGTTCTGTAGATTTTATGAATGGTGGCATTCCTTTTAAGAATTTCTATTTTTAGGAAAACTAAACTGAAGACTAGCATCCCCATGAATTTAAGATAATGCTGTATTTGTATGGGAAATAGAGACGTCTAGGTTTCTAAAGTAACATTCCTCTATTCTACTTTTTTAAATATTAATAGGCAGTAGTCTTCGAAACTAATACAGGCCTTTTTCCCTTCCTTTTCTTTTCTTTTGACTAACTTAGAGCCTACAGATGAGCAACTTGATAACCGGAGTTTAGAAGAGATTTTGAATAGTATTCCTCCACCCCCACCTCCAGCAATGACGAATGAAGCTGGAGCTCCTCGGCTTATGATAACTCATATTGTAAACCAGAACTTCAAGTCCTATGCTGGGGAAAAAATTCTGGGACCTTTCCATAAGGTATTTGCCCATTTCAGATAACGATTTGTAAGGTTATTTGTAAATTAATAACTATATGACAAGATGTTTCAATTTTACAACTGTTCTGCCTTTCACTCTCGCACACTCTCACACTCAATTTAACAACTGAAATTATCTGTTATCTTTGGGACCTCATTATAAAGTTTTCCTCATTGAATATTTTTGTTTAAAAGGAACATCTCCTCTAATTATTAGAATGACTTAAGTCTGGGTTAGAGCTAGAACATGATCTTAAGGCATTGTAGCTTGCGATACAGGGGAGGGTATGGTGTAAGAAAATTCAAGTTGTGTGTCTAAAAACAAAAGTTTTAAGTGCTTGTAGTTTTTACTGAAAGCAAAAGGGCAAGCAGTTTAAATTAAAATTAGTAGTATTATTATGACCTTTTAAATTTTTTCCCTTTTTTTAAATGCAGCGCTTTTCCTGTATTATTGGGCCAAATGGCAGTGGCAAATCCAATGTTATTGATTCTATGCTTTTTGTGTTTGGCTATCGAGCACAAAAAATAAGATCTAAAAAATTGTCAGTACTAATACATAATTCTGATGAACACAAGGATATTCAGAGTTGTACTGTAGAAGTTCATTTTCAAAAGATAATTGATAAGGTAAGGTTTTTTTTTGTATTTACTTAGTACAACTTCAAGTAAGAAAAACAAAAGACTTCAGTGCATTACATACGTTTTATCATTGGTTTAAATAAGCTTTTAAAAATATGTCTATAATTTAAACAGAGATAATGCTTTTATTACTTTTAAGGCCATATTTTGGGGGCAGTGGTAGTATTCGAAACATAAAACATTAAAAAATTTTAATCAAGAGAAAAATTATGATTAGCTTGTGGTAATTCTTACATTTGGAAATAAAACATTGAGCAGATTCAGCATTCTGAGTGCTAGTTAGACTTTTAGTATAAATTTGGGTTCATTTTTAAAGTTATATTTTATTGCATAAGAATAAATTACCTAAACTTAAAAATTTAGTAGTATCTCCATTATTTCAGTGCACATTAAATTTATTATTAGTGGTCTATGTCTGTGATATCAGAGAACTTTTCTTTCACTTGAATTACTGTGATTTAGCACTTTTGTAATGGGAGATGTGTAAGCTGACATATTTTCTAGAAATAGAGACAATTATAGATAAAGTGTCTTATTTGATTGTCTGCTACTTGGTATGGTTCTCTCTTTTTTTTTTTTTTTTTTTTTTTTTTTTTTTTTTGGTACTGTTTGGGGAGATTTCCAGGTGTTTCATGATTAACTTAGGAAATGTTTCAAAATGACTAGAGCCTAAAAAGGGAATCTAATTGCCAGTGACTTTGCTTCTGCTCCCCCTTTCTTTTTTCATGTAAATAGCTAATTACACTAGATCATGTATTTAAATTTACTTTGTTAATGCATTTTATTCTACAATTTATATTTAAAAATAGGTGCCAATAAATAAGATTTTTATTCCAATGCCTGCTTATATTGGATTCATCTATAGATAAAAAGTCATAGCTTTAATATCACAGAGCTTTTAAGTAAGTTTTAGTGTCAGAGTAGATTTGCTTATGATTTCTTTTAAAAATCAGAGAATGTAGCTGTGAATTCTTTACAGTTCTTTTTACTTCAATGGCATATCCTTCACCAGCATCACTGACACCAAAAATATCATCCCAGCATCACTGCCTTGGTTTTTGTGTCATCTCATCCTGTAGCTTTTTTAGGTGGACTAGCAGTTTGGTCTATCAACATGATTATTAATTTGAGTGAGTTAATTTGGTTATGGTGAGACGTTGTTATTGGTCCCAGTATGTTTGGAGCTAGAATTTTTATTTGCTTTGGTTTGGCTTTTTGGAGATTTTTGAGAAAGCAAGCAAACAACTTGGATAAGTATCTATTCTTTGCTAAGTTATTTTTGAGAACTACTAACAGTTTTTGCACATGTTCAATATAAGTATTTAATCCATAGAATTAGTTTCAGTATGAATTGACTGAAATTTGAAGCAGAACAGTGACTTAATGCCAACAGTTGTTTTCTTGTTTTATTTTTCCTCAAAACAGGAAGGGGATGATTATGAAGTCATTCCTAACAGTAATTTCTATGTATCCAGAACGGCCTACAGAGATAATACTTCTGTCTATCACATTAGTGGGAAGAAAAAGACATTTAAGGATGTTGGGAACCTTCTTCGAAGCCATGGGATTGACTTGGACCATAATAGATTTTTAATATTGCAGGTAAACTTTCTAAAAAGTGCAGGCTCTAAACCCTTGTTCTTGTTTTTTGTTTTTCTCAATAATGATAGATTGAGGGTTTACTCCGTTTGATGGATCCTGTATTTTTGAGGCCTTAAAGTACTCTAGCAGCACATCATGATTTACATACTGTAGTCAAGATGCGAATCATTATATGCTGCTCTAGAAATTTAAGGAAATTCATTCAAAACTATACTTTCATCATTTATATGTTCATTTGGATGGACTGACATACTTACTTGTTCCACTCTAGCAGCACGTAAATATTGGCGTAGTGAAATAAACATTAAACACCAATATTATTGTGCTGCTTTAGTGTGACAGGGATAGAGCAACTATTTACTGTTTGTATTTAAGATGAAATTTTAAATGAGAATCATTATCTTTCAATAGCCTGTCCTTTTTGTTTTTATCTCTTCTAATAACAACAAAAAAGAAAATGAGCTCTGTAGACTTTGGCAAATTTTCCTCAGCACCTAATTTTATTTTATCTTTTAATACTTCAGGTGGTTAACTAAAAGTGTATTCTTCAAATTGGTTTTGTTTTGTTTAGAATGATTTATTTTCTTGAGCTTCTACTATTGGTAGATCAGGAAATAATTCGTATTAACATTCTTAAGTATCACAACTCTTAAAAACAAGTTTTTTTTTTTTAAGTATAAAAGATTAAGTACATGGTATTAAGGAGATTTTGAGTAGAGATGTATTTTTTAAAGTAAAGGTATGTTCCACCAGCATTGCTTGGCAAGAAAAATCCTCTTTTCTTCCTTATGTTTTATCTTTCAAAAAAAATTTTTATAAATTGTAAAACCATGGCATTTTCAGATGTTTTGAAATTACTGTTGGATTTGAGGGCTGCTCTTATTTGCTATCCAGAGTTACCTGTGAGCATAATAAGAAAAATAAAACTATCGCCTTAAGCAGAAATTGCTATTAGTATCTTTTGCTGCTGATTCTTAAATAAGTTGAGAATTTTGAATTCATGCTAACTTTTCTTGGGATGATTGATTGTTCCCATTAACAACTTATCAGATGTTAGCTCATATTTCTAATTTAGTATATATTCTTCAGCTATTTTTTTTTTAAATACTAGTTTTAGTCATATATAGTGTTCAAGGCAAATTAATAACATACTGGAAATTATTTAGTATCCTTTATTATCAGACACTATGTATTTGTGATATTTCTAAGATCCACACAAAAATGTTAGGAAATCAGTTGCAGGTATATTTTAATGTGAAATTACAGCTTTGTTGGGTTTGTCTTTAAAGCGAATTGTTTATCATATTTTAGAATTTTATTAGGGATAAAAATGTCCTTTTACAGTGTTTAATTTACTAATGATACTCTTTCACAAGAAATTATACTTGTGTTTATCGCTTATATTTTTCTATTTCTTTACTGTCATCCTGGGATAATCAAAGTCTGACAAACCTGAGCAAAGGCTTAGCAAAACAGACTGTATTCTAGCTCTTTTTAAGGGTAACTTTTTCCTTCATTCAGCTTATTTACACAAAATTCAATTAATAAAGGAGGCTAATAATGTAATAATTCCCCAAAGAAATAATTTACAAATTGTCAAGTTTATATTAAACGTGCTTCTGAAGAACTTAGAATAGTTAAGCCATTTGTCCACGTGATAATATGAATCTTCTTCTGTGCTCTTAACAATTAAATTGTTTTTGAAATATTCTTCCTGAATACCACCACCAAGCTAAAACTTTCAACTTAACAGATTCAACTTGATGTGATTAATTTACAGATAAGAACCTTTACAACTCAGCTGTTAGAACATACTGGGATTAGACTAGAATTAATGCTGCACTGTTAAGTTTAAGGGAGAATGGAAGTAGTTTCTATAGATTTGGGGGGGGCTTTTTAATCAAAATTTTAGATTCTTACAATAGAGATATAAGGCATTTGAAGGTAAGTGAGATTGTGGTTTTTCTTGCCTTCTCTCCCACTGTCTTAACATTTATCTTAAAAACTGCCCATGACTTTAGAGGCTGTGAAATTGGAGACAACATTATAGTGTTACCACCGACCAAAGATGTAAATGATTATTTTGAATAAAATATATAGGCCATTTGGACAGTGGTAGTGGTTAACATGTTGCAAGTAATCTAAATTTAGTAAAAGTAAAATTTTATTTTTAAGATTAAAAAGCAGTAAATTCTAGACCATGAGGATAAGAAAAAAAAATTTATAGTAGTCATATACTGATTTAGTAGGTTTTTAAAGTAAGCACTTGTATTTGGGTTTGTTTAAAATTGCATTAATTATTCATATGAGTTTCCAATTAGGCATTGTGCAAAGATGCTATAAGTAATACAAAGATGGTTAACACTTGTTTTTTTATCAGTAAAAAAAGACACTCACGTATTCCCTCAAAAGGTATTAGCTTTTTGCTGGAGATGTAGCTCAGTGACACCACGCCTGCCTGGCAAGCATGAAGTCCTGAGTTCCATCCCCAGTACCACAAAAAAATATAAATATATATTAGATTATGAGTTGATGTGGTCATGTATACCTGTAACTCCAGCACTTACTCAGGAGGCTGAGGCAAGAATATCAAGTCTGAGGTCAGCCTTGGCAATTCATTTGAGACCTTGTCTCAAAAAAGGGCTGAGGATATAGCTAATTCTTGTATTCAGTCCCCAAGACTCCTGTCCCTCCAAAAAGACCACAACTATTAGCACAACTTTAATTTTGACAGTTTTCAACTTTTTGTTTTTGTATTACAAAATCCTAAGTTTCTTTTCTACTTTGGAGACTAAAAGTAGATCTGAGTTACCTATCATCCTTTTTCTACGGTTGACTAGACATATAAACTCTTCGGGTTCTAGTCTTTTTGAACTATAAGAAGTCTAGGCTAATAATAGCAAAGGAAATGTTTATGCCTTATTAGTAACATGTACCTTAATTTTCCAAAGTTATCTGATTTAGCACCTAAACCATGAAAAAATATATATACATATATAGAATGCTGCACCTAAATATCCATGTATGAAGTCAACCACAGAAGCACCCTATTTGTGTACTTTTAGAAACACAGTTACTGACCTTAGTGATTTCTTTCTTGGCCTGTGGTAGCTACCAAAGACCAAATCAAAGTAAAATGCACTAGAAGATAAAGAGCAGTTAATACTTTACAGTGCAGTGGAAATGGGGAAAATAAACCTTAAGGCAAAATAAAAATTCAAAGCTCAGAGGGGTTGGGATTATATCTCAGTGGTAGAGCACATACTAGAATGTTTGAGACCTTGCTCCCTCTGTGCACTGTAGGGTTTTTTTTGTTTGTTTGTTTGTTTGTTTTTTTCAAGGCTCTTTAACTCTAGGCCATTTGATTTTGATGTGTACACTTAGGTTTATTTTAAATCATTCAAAGTCTTTATTTTTTTAATGTTTATAGCTATATATTTGAGTTTTCTACAGTTATGCTTGCTAAAATTTTTATTATATTTTAATAAAGAAAAATCCTCCCTCTTCACTTCTCTTAGATTTTATTATCAGAGAATGGTATAACTCAGGGGTGGTGAACCTATGGCACATGTGCCACAGCAGGCTGTTTGTATCATTGAAAGCTTTAAAAGGTTTGCCCTCACTGGTGTAACTATATCACAGTATCCTTGTTTGCCACCCAAAAAGCCTTCAATAAATTAAAATTTAAGGCCTTGTTAGTATATTTACTCTGTGTGTGTGTGTGTGTGTGTGTGTGTGTGTGTGTGTGTGTGTGTTGCTGGTGGTCAAACCTAGGGCTTCACATGCTTGCCAGTCACTTTGCCAGTGACCATCCATAGCCAAGCCTCTAGTATAATTCATAGGTGAAAAAACAAGTGTTTAAAACCTTGCTTACTATGTTTCAAGCTTCAAAAAGTAGAAACAACAATGTGTAGAATTATGAAATTTTGCCAGCTTCAGATACTAGCTTTATAACAAATTGAAATACTTCGGTGTGTTTTTGTGCCACCATTTGTGATTTGGAACCTTGACATGAAAGGGTAACTGATAAATTCAGATTGGTGCTTTTAAATAAATTATTTCTGAAATATACTGCCTTATTGCCCTAAATGAAAACTTTAAAATTCACATGGGATTGGTAAATTTTCTGAAGAACAAGTCATCCTCTAATCACAGACTGATCATTCCACAGATTATGTAGTGAATAGCACAGAATGGGAGGAAAAGGATTAGGATGAAAAAGGTAGCAAGGAGTAGGACACATAGAGGACATTGCGGAGCAGAACTGCAAGAAAAGTCCTTGGTTTTCATTGGAAAACCATAGCAGTCCAAATAGTCAAAAGTCAAGTCTAAATGTTCACACACCCTGTTGATTCAGTAGTGCTGAGCTGAATACAGTAACTGGTTTTAAAAAAGAAAAACAAATGCAGTACAGTATGACATCTAAAACAATGTTATGTGGGTCTTCAGTTGGAACTATTTTGTTTCATAAATGAATTTGCCTTTTAATATTTTTAAAAGCTGAACAGCCTTATTAGAGTGAGAGGAAATGAGCTGTGTATCCTTCATCTTATTTGGGAAGAAAGGAACAAATAACAAAAACAAGTAACTACTCTGCTTTAGCCAAAGCTAGACTGTTTCTTAATAGTTGTACACCATTTTTTCAATAAATAATTGGCCAGGAAATATGATCTATTAGAAATACTTTTAATCTGTGTAAACTATACATTGGATCCAAGCTTTTGGTTATCTGAAAAATGTAGACTTAATAATACTTTTATGCACAATTGATGTAAGTCCTGCATGGTTTTTCACTTATCTTAAAAATAGGTTTCAGATATTCAACATGCTAGGTGGTATATTAAAATACTGTCAGATACTATCATTTGGATAAATCAAAAGATTTAAACTACAAACTCCAGATGAGTGGTTCTCGTTTCTGTACCCCTCTCCTAGAACAGCTAGAGACATGCTTTGGCTTGTTATCTGCTGATAGAAGGGTATGCTACTGGTATATATAGTCAGAGATGATGTTAAGTATTTTTACATTGCTCAGTACAACAAATAATAACCAGCACAAATAACAGTAGTGCCACTATTGCTAAACCTTACGTAAATAAAAACTTCCAAAATACTCTTGGTTTTTTCAGTGACTAAATTTGTCCTGTTGTAATCCACAGTTTTGGACATTCTTCTAGGCTTAAATTCTGTCTAAAACTTGTTGCTGCAAACATTTAGGAAGAACTGATAAAGCAGAATAAAATAATACACAGAAATATCTCCATTTAGTTTATACTGACTCATAAGTTACTGAATCTTACTGAGAATAAATAACAGACCTTATGGATAACAATTTCATATGCTGCTAATGGAGTGTCAAAGTACTGAAAAGTAATGGCCTGTAATGCTATTAAGCTTGTCAACAAGATTTTAAAATGAGCTGTTTTGTTACCTTTAAATTTTTAACAAATAAAAAATAAGTTATGTTGAGATGTTTGTTTAAATATTACATCTTTTATCAGTAACAAGTGTTATCCCAAATTTTGAAGGTTGCATCAGACATTTAAAAATGAAGATTGCTATTTTAATATTGCTTTTCTTAGCTATTTTGCTGAAAATAAGACTTGTATTTTTTTCCCACTTGCCTACCTGTGTCTTTTGTTGTAATAGTTACAGTATAGAGTTTAAGGCTACTTCTGCCTGAACATGTTCTGACAAAATTTTCTTCACCTTCAGATTAAATGGCTCCCTGGCAGTGAACCTTGACTGATTATAGATTTTTTTCTTTTTGTCTGTAGTTGAAGTGCATAAATACAAGTATTAATCTAAGATTTTAACTGGAGTTTAAAGTTGTTAGTTGGTGGTCATAAGCAAAAGTTTCCTGTAGTACATGTTCCAAGGCCATTTTCTCTAGTTAACATAATCAGTTGGGTTTCTTTTAATATTACTAAGAAATAGTTAACCTTTTCTAGTTAAGACTTTTGTTTTAGAAAATTAGAACATTAAGTTTTAAACATGCTTGTGAAGCCCTTTACTTGTTCAGGTGTTACATAACTATATATGTAACTATGGAGAAACTATATTAACCACCCTGGGGCTAGCCTCTGTACAGTGTAGTTCTTACTATGTTATTAATGGTTGGTGATGTCACTGATCAAATACTGATCAAATTGCTGATTATATTAGTACTTTGCTGAATTTTGCTTAACAGAAAAATGTTATTAACATTCTAGATGAAGAAAACTTTATTGGCTTTGTGGGGGGGTATGTGTTAGAATTTTATGAGAACTTATGTAAGGGAATATAAATATAGTACACATTTCTTCCCGTTATTTTAAATCCTTTTAAGTTACTTGATGAATATTAGTTACTCTTGAGTTTAACTCCAGTTCTCACTTAAAATTGATTTAAACGTACAATGAGTATGAAATATGACTTTTTTAAAGGGTGAAGTTGAACAAATAGCTATGATGAAACCAAAAGGCCAGACTGAACATGATGAGGGTATGCTTGAATATTTAGAAGATATAATTGGCTGTGGACGACTAAATGAACCTATTAAAGTCCTGTGTCGAAGAGTTGAAATACTAAATGAGCACAGAGGAGAGAAGGTGAATCTGTATTATAATTTATTGCAAATTGTAAATTTATGGATTAAAAAATTTTACTGGATCACAGTCATGTGTAGTAGTTTTTAATTGAAATCTTTACTATTTTAAATAAAAATTTGTTTTTATACTATCAGTGTTTAAGAGGAACATGTTCTTTGTTAGTACAGTTTTTATTTAATATTGGCATAGTTTAGATTCAGATTTTATGAATGAGATGTATATTTGATCTTTAAATTTTTAATTTTGTAGTTAAACAGGGTTAAAATGGTGGAAAAGGAAAAGGATGCCTTAGAGGGAGAGAAGAACATAGCCATTGAATTTCTTACCTTGGAAAATGAAATATTTAGAAAAAAGAATCATGTTTGTCAGTATTACATGTAAGTATCTTAATTTGTCAGCTTTTACATATTTCTGTCCATTAAATGTGAGCTCTTTTTATACTAATATGAAGACTGATAAGAAAAAAAGCTTGTTTTCAGTGATAAGTTCATTGAAGTAGGATTATTTGCAAGCTACATTGACTTTTTAGTGTCCTGCTTTAAATTGGGAGTTTTCACAAATATTTATTATTTTAATACTTTTACATATACAGTAGTCCCCTAAGATGAAGGTGATAATGTTCTAAGACACCCCCCCTAGTAGATACGTAAAACTAAGGATGGTACCAAACCGTTATGTATACTGTTTTTTACCTATATTCCTTGCAGCAGTGTCATAGTACAGGGTTAATCTTTCCTCTGTGTTTTATGCCCTGGTGCTCCTTTGCATCACTGAGTGACTAATGGTGGTGAATGTGTCCAGTGTGGGAATACTGAACAAAGGAAGATCACAGACCAGGGATAGTGTGCAATTTAAAACTAATAAATTATTTCTGGAATTTACAATTTAATATTTTTAGACAGTGGTCAACAGCTGATACCTAAAACAATATACACAGGAATAAGGAGGGACTATTTTACATTCTTTTAAATTCACACGTTTTCAGATCTAATTTTGTTTAAAATGCACCTATTTTATTCCTAAATTCTAGCTTTAAGGGAGGGGGCAAGTGTGATTGTGCCATAGCCCAAGGTAACTATGTTGACTACAGCAGCAAATACTTCAGAAACAGCTGATTTTATTAAAATAGTTATATGGTTTTATTTTATTTTGGTATTGGGGATCGATCAAACTCAGGACCTCATGCTTGCCAGGCATGTCATTTTAAGATATCTGTGTTTCTTTCGCTCTAGTTATGATCTGCAGAAACGAATTGCTGAAATGGAGATACAAAAGGAAAAGATTCATGAAGATACCAAAGAAATTAATGAGAGGAACAAAATACTGTCAAATCAAATGAAAGCTAAGAATAAAGCTGTACAAGATATAGAGAAGTAATAATCTTTTGGAGATTATTGTGGATGTCTGTATGTAAACTTACTTTGGGTAAATTATGAGTGTAATACATTTGCCCATATGTAGCGGTCTCCTTTTGGTGTTTTAAAAAACACTGCTGTGCATCCAACTACTTAACCAAGAGTACCCAACACTGGTATTAAACTAATGGGGGTGCTGCCCCCTAGTGGCCAAATATAGTTACAGACCCAGAGCATTATTAATCTTTAACTTTTGTGGTAAAGTTTGTGTGTGTGTGTGTGTGTGTGTGTGTGTGTGTCATAGTTACTGAAAAATGTATTTCCATCTTAGAAAAGCAAAAAAAAATCTTTACAATGAGAAATTTTAACAACTTTGATTATCGGAAAATCATCTTGGAGGAGGGACGATTTTAAAGTCCTATCTAATAAGACTTTGGACATATTTATAGACGAAGTGTCCCATAAAGAGTATATAACATGGTTTTAAAATGTTACTATCCAAAATAATAACCGATAATTTACTTGATTTGCTAGGAAACTCAATAAAATTACAAAGTTTATTGAGGAAAATAAAGAAAAATTTACACAGCTGGATTTGGAAGATGTTCAAGTTAGAGAAAAATTAAAGCATGCTACTAGTAAAAGCAAAAAACTGGAGAAACAACTTCAAAAAGAAAAGGAAAAGGTATGTGCTATTTTAAAATCTTGAAAATTTCATGTCTGAATAGCAGATCTAATTTTTATTTTTACAAAGCTTGTTTGTCCTTGTTGCCTTAAAAGTATGAATTAGAATTATGAATGTTCCATGTTATAATATGATTTTGTCCCCCAAGGGGAAACCTTGCATACATTGAGTTTTAGAGTATATATTATACTACATTGTTAAAACATTTATCAAATCAGCAACTTTATTTTCATGATAATTATAATTTTCTTTTTCTCAAAGTAGTGGTTTAGAAAGATTTTTGAATAGGTATTATATACCTTTAAAAATATCACCTACCTCATACAAAAATCAAGTCAACAGGGTCAGAGTAGGAGGCCTGGCCCCTTACCCAAGGAAAGATGAGAAAGCTGAGGATTTACAAGAAGGTATTAATTAGTTATTCTTAGGTTTTAAAAAACTGAACTTTGGGGCTGGGCATTTAGCTCAGTGGTTCTGAGGCCTGCCTCGCAAGCACAAGGTCCTGAGCTCAATCCCTGGTACAAAAAAAAAAAAAAAATGAACTTTGGACTAGAATGTGAAAAAGCCTACTCTGTCTAGAGTAAGACTATAATGGTCAGGTAATTTGGGGTCTCTTTAAATAATCATACATAGGATGTTAATAGATACAACAACTGAAAACTGAAATAGAATGTGAAAAAGCCTACTCTGTCTAGAGTAAGACTATAATGGTCAGGTAATTTGGGGTCTCTTTAAATAATCATACATAGGATGTTAATAGATACAACAACTGAATCCCAACCTTTGAAAAAGCTTTGTTTCATATAATGATGCAGCAACTACCATATAGGTACTTCTTTACATTAAAAGAGTTCTCCATATGTATTTGTTAAGATACTTTATGTTCAGTATACCCAACACTGGTTATATCAATAAGTGTTTGATGATCGTCAGTTTGGGAAATATTGAACTTCTCTGGTGAAAGGCAGTCGGTAAAGAAAAATAACACAAATTTGGGAGTGACTTCAAATTGGACACACTAAACAAACTGTAAAATGTTACAGAAGCATTAGTTTTTAGACATAAAATGTGGCCAAGTGATTATAAGTCCAATATACTGACTGTGGAAAGGTAAAGTTGTTGAAGATTTTAGGATGGGGGGTAAAGCTATATTGTAATATATACCATGAAGAATTGTTTTTAAAATTCCATGTAATCAGAACATGTTTATGGCTAAAGAAGGATAATTATAGCCTGAAATCAAGAGATTTGGAAGGCAGACTTAAGCATCTGCCAGGAAGAGTATTTTTTCATAAATGAATCAGTTCATAAAATTGATTTTACTATTAGACTGAAAGAAATTATAGTGAATGATTGAAAAAATATTATTAAAGTTAACCAACTCACATCTAATTACAAAGACCTAGTGATCCTAAGAATTTCTTTTCCTTTTTTTTTTCCTTTTGGTACTGGGGATTTTAACTTTGGAATTTATGCATGCTAAGCACATTGCCACTGAGCCATACTCCTATCATGAGAAGCAGTTTTTAAATCAAATACTGATATTGGGTAGCCTAAAGGTATATGCTTCTATAACTTTAATTTGGTTTATAATCTCAGGTTGAAGAATTTAAAAGTATACCTGCCAAGAGTGAGAACGTCATAACTGAGTCAACAACTAGAAACAATTTTCTTGAAAAAGAAAAAGAGAGAGAAGAGAAAAAATTAAAGGAAGTTATGGATAGTCTTAAACAGGAAACACAAGGGCTTCAGAAGGAAAAAGAAGTAAGATTCTTTTATCAGTGTTGATTTTGATGGCTTTTTTAAAACATGATTGTTTTTTTTAGTGGTACAAAAGTAAACTTCTAAAAGAATAAGTTTAGCCTTTGAATAAATTGAATAGCCCTAAAACTATTCAGCCTAGACTCTATTTTCTGCTTTCCCATTTAAAAAATAAGTAAAAAAAAATAAATAAAAGTAAACTGAATGATAATTTGTAATAGGAGAAAATGTAATGTCAAGTACTTTGACTACTCCTAAACCTGTAGAATCTTCACATTTTCTTTTTTGATCCCTAAATTATTTTCTTGGTAATTAATGTGTTGGCCACTTAAAAATCTGGGAGCATGCTAAGCATAGGTTATTAACATTGCCTTTTTCCTTTAATATGGTGTTATAGCTTAAAACTGTGCCTCTTGAATCCATTCTTGGTTCAAATCCTAGATAAGTTACTTATTCTCTGTGCTCTTGTACAAGTTTTTAATATCCAACTCATCTTTCTCAAAATGAAAATATTATATCTTCTGAGTAAATAAAAAGTACGCTTATATAAAGTTCCTAGAAAATAAGTACACAGCTACTATTTTACTTCATTAATAAAACAAGGGCATGAGGTTGGTTGTAACATTGATATGAACGATCTGTCCAATAAAAGTATAATCATAACATTACCTGTATATTCAAAATAGGCTTTTGACAATGTTGAGTGTTAAATACATATTCAAATAGATAATGGTAATGGAGTTGACCTCATAGAGGGTAAAAGACTGGACTTGCACATTTAATATATAATAAGCTCCTCTGTGTTCCTTGCACACTGGTATGGTAAACGCAAAGCTGGGACTTAGCTGTCTTCATTCTTTATTTTGCATAAAGATTTTCAGTTTTAATACCTTTGAAGAAACATTCTGAGTAATTCTTATACCTGCTAATGAGGAAAGAGCATAAAACTTTAGGCCCAAGATATTTTTCTTTGAATTATTCCTTTTTTTGTTTGAATCTTTAAAATGAGCATGCTGAGCTCTACCTCATGAAGCTTACTCATACGACATCAAGACTTTCTGTATAGTGTATGTTGATAACTAGCCATGAGCTATTAGCTGTCCCACTTGTGAGAACTTATTTTTATATACTATGCACGTAGAATAAATTGACGTCAAAATGTTTGGTTTCCATTTCAGTTTAAGTTTGGAAATGTACTTTAGTTTAATGGATTCATATTTTAACAGAGTCGAGAGAAAGAATTCATGGGTTTCAACAAATCTGTAAATGAAGCACGTTCAAAGATGGAGGTAGCCCAGTCAGAACTTGATATCTACCTCAGTCGATATAATACCGCAGTATCTCAATTAAGTAAGGCAAAAGAAGCTCTGATTGCTGCTTCTGAGACTCTCAAAGAAAGGAAAGCTGCAATCAGAAATACAGAGGCAAAACTGCCTCAAACGGAACAAGAATTAAAGGAGGTAAGTCTGTTTCTTATTACCTCTAAACATTCATGAACCCTTGTGTGTTGTGTTTTGTGTTGTTGTTGAGAAGGGAGGTCTCACTATGTTGTTTAGTCTTGTCTTGAACTCACTATGTAGCCCAGGCAGGCCTAGAACTCATGGCAGTCCTCCTGCCTCAGTCTCCTGAGTACTGGGATTATAGGTGTACACCACCGTGCACAGTTATCAACCCAATTTTTTTGTTGTTGTTTTTAATCTTAACATCTAAAGTAGTGTATAGTTTATCTTTTTCTCATTTAATGTAGTCAACAAAAGAATGTCGTCAGTATTTCAGCGTATGGTATGAATTGAGACTTTTAAGAAACTATAATTAGAGTTGGAGTATCTCAGTAACATAGATCTTACCTAGCATGTCAAGGCCCTCCGTTTGTCCCTCTTACTACATAAGAAACTATCTTACTCTTAGAAGCCTCAAACAATAAGTTAGCCACTACTGTATTCCCATGGAAATAATTTAAGCAAAGGAAACTGTATTTTTCTAAATCTGTGAGTGTAGGCAACTTGTGTAAGGATAAAAAATATAATGAATATGCAAGCTGTCATTTTTGTTGTTGAATTTATAGATGAAGTTTCTTCTGTATTGGTACTCCAAAATGTGAATTAAAGAAGATAACCTAGCTTACCAGCTCAGTGTACCTCTCACCAATTTGAGTTGATTAGATGTTTTAAGGAATTTCATAAACTTTAATCTCCAGAGCTTCTGTGGACAATTTCAACAGAAAATGTGGTTGATTTTAGCTGGGTACGGTGATACCTGCTAGCTTCTCAGGAGACTGAGTTAGAAAGATTCCTTGATCCCAGGTTGAGGCCAGCCTGGGCAGTGTGGCAAAACTTTGTCTTAAAAGAAGTAAAAAGTGCTGTTTGTGTAGATACAATACTGAAAATAAATATTTTTCATTGTAATAAATGCATGTTATTTTCTTATTGGGATTTTGTGACCGTGTAGAATTTTTGTTGTTGTTGTTTTTAACTTTATTGGTACAGTTAAGGTGTACAATACATTGACATTCATCATTGGAAATTTGCACCTTTACATAGTCCATCTTGGTTCTTATTTTTTCCCCATTCCCCTGCCCTCCCTTCAACCCCTCCATCCCTCCCTATCTACAAAGACTTTGCTTCCATTTTTTTCATTTTCCCATATTAATTCCATTCCCTTCTTTCCTTTCCCTGACCCGCCCATTCCCCCTTCCCTTTTTGCTCCCTTTCTTCCTTTTCACATTATCGATTATACCTTAGAATTTAAATATAGATTACATCTTCTGACTACCTCTGTCTTCCTGGTGATTAGATTTATTTTTGGATAAGTTACATTCATAGCTTGAGCTTTACTTTATGCCTCTGTAACAAATAATAGAGATCATTTAAAGCCAGGAAATAGGGGAGAATATGAGTTAGAAAAGACAGCTCCTGCTAAATTGGATATTGAGAAATTGGATTTGGATTTCTCTGGTTGGCAGCCTTTACATTTTTATATAGCAATAAGACTTCAGTCATCTTTCTCCCTTTTATTCAGGTGATACATTTGTGTCTTGTTTTTCGTTATTTAATCAGAAAGCAAAATGTGGCATAACCATAACCCTGCCCACTCACTCATATCTGGTATCTTGTTCCTAAATCTGCTGTTGGTTAGAGCAGAACTTAAGAATTAGGCCAAACTTATGCATAATTGTGTGGTGCCTAAGTAGGATTTCCTTAGCTGTATCTCTGCATTCTTTTATTGGGATGAACTGTTTGTGGAACTATACTGCATTTGTGTTCCCTTTTATTGACCAAATAATTTTTTATTAAATAATTTTATTGGTATATTTTAGGTTAACACTATGATGACATTCATCGTTGGGGATTTATATCTTTACGTGCTATATCTTGGTTCTTATTTATTTTTTATTCTTATTTTTCCCCATCCCCCTACCCTCCCTTCAGCTCCTCCACCCCTCTCTATTTACAAAGACTTTCCATTTTTTCCTTTTCTCATATCTATTCCTTTCCCTTCTTTCTTTTCCCGTACCCCTACCACTTCCTCTTCCCCTTTGGACCATTTCTTCATAGAGTATGGCCTCAATGTGCATCCATTTAGCTATAAATGTCTCTAGTTTCCCATTCTTTATGGCTGAGTAGTACTACATTTTATATAAAACACACACACACACACACACACACACACACACACACACACACACACGCCTTCTTTATCCAGTTATCAGTTGATGGGCAATTGGGCTGTTTCCAAGTTTTAGCTGTTACAAATTGTGCTGCTATAAACATGAGAACCCAAATAATTTTTTTTTTCACCTGGTACTGGGATCAAACTCAGGACTTCATGCTTGCCAGGCAGGCATGGTGCCACTGAGCTACATCCCTGGCTCCTGACCTAAACAGTTTAAAACAGGAGGCTCATACTAGTTTTCCAAAGCCAAACCAGCAATTGCAGAGTGAAAGTCCATGTTCTGATTCATGTTATTTTTGGTCTTTTCCTTCTTGATTATTATTGAAATATTACAATTGATTCTGTACTGTGATTGGATATATTAAGGATCTCATGTTTTTGGATTTCATTTTCTTTTTACTATAGAAAGAAAAAGAACTTAAAAGACTTACACAAGAAGAAATAAACTTCAAAAGTTTGGTTCATGATCTTTTCCAAAAAGTTGAAGAAGCAAAGGGTTCCTTAGCAATGAATCGAAGTAGAGGGAAAGTACTTGATGCAATAATTCAAGAAAAAAAATCTGGCAGGATTCCAGGAATATATGGAAGACTGGTAACGTAAACTTGGGAATAATTTCACTTTCCACAAGAAAGACATTGCAGTTTATATTCTTACCTTGTATCTATTGAGTGCCACTATACATAAAATAACTCATTTTGGTTTAAGGAACACTCATTTTTAAACATTTTGCTCTTAGAGTTTTTTGGTTTATTTAGTTTTAGATAATTACAATAATTTAGTAGTGATATGCAAACTTGACAAAACTACATACCTTTTTTTTGAAAAATAAAATTTTCATATATTCTGGGTTCAACATTATACTTAAGGTTTCATTATGGTATATGGAAATCAACTGATAGATAATGAGGAAATTTTCTGAGCCTCTAGAAGTGAGGAAGCTATGATTGAGGGGAAACAGAAGAATAAATAATTCAGTCTCATTCACCTCCTGCCCTGCAGTATCAGCAGATAGCCTTCTGTTGGCTGATGCAAGAGCCAAAGCAGCTAATTGAGGCAGTTCTCAAGTCAGCCTTCCACAGAAGGAAGTACAGTTAATAATAGCACAGGACCAATAAAAATTAGTCATCACAGTTGTTTCTATGTCTCATATTTTCCTACAGATTTATAGTTTGATTCTATTAATTTGCTTCCAGGGAAAACTGAAGCTAGTCAGTGAGTATTGCTAGATAGCTAAATAATAGATTAATAAACAGATATCTTTCATTGGTACTTACATTTATCTTAGATGGCTTTTTAGTAATTAGAGTGTTCGAGGTTGGAGATTCAGCTCAGGGATAATAACACTAGCCTAGCAAGTGCTGGGTTCAGTCCTCAGCATCAAAATGATTTTTTAAAAATTTGAAGTTTTTGTGTATTGTTTTGTTTAGATCTTATCTCCATAAATATATATTCTTTCATCCTGTGCTCATTAAAATTCAAGCCACCTATCCTTAAATGCCTTTTGAAGTGTACATTGCCAGGTGAGGTGGCACATGCCTAATCCCACACTTAGAAGACTGGTGCAGGAGGATCACCATGAGTTGAAGGCCAGCCTGAACTACTTAGCAAGACCCTGTCTCAAAGGAGAAAAAAATGAAAAATAAAATGTAATTAAAAATTCCACATAATGATTATTTCTGTAGAAGGGGAATGTTGGAGTGATAGGCACATTTAAAGTTTTTAATTGTGTATTGTTTTATACTTCTAAAAATTATGTATGCATACTTTTTCAATTAAAAGGAACTTTAGGGCTGGGGATTTAGCTCAGTGGTTCGGTGGCCTGCCTCGCAAGTGCAAGGACCCAAGTTCGATCCTCGATCC